TGTCCCCAAATTTCAAATAGATAACTCACCAAAATTACTTAGTTCGTGAAGTTTCAGGTTTTACGATTACCCAATGGGACGAATAAAACAAAATAATGTTCTGCAAGTCTGTATGACTGAAAAGTCCCACTGGCTAGTCATAACTGACTATTCCATCACTATCGTCTTCTGCTGTACGAATTATTGGATGGCTAGTATCCGCTGGATGTTTCATAATCCCCCTCGAAAGAAAACAAAGAAGTAGATTATTAGCCAGAAATACAGAAAACCGAGGGATTGGGAGATTTGCCGACCACCGCCAATCGCGGTCTCCGCACCACTCAACTCGGCTGGCTAAACAGAGGTACGGCCCTTGTCAGGAGTTAATGGCACCTTTGCTTTCCCTATAGTGATTATTAAATTGTAATGAAATTCGAATAAAAATACCTCATTACATGATAAATTTGAAATAGAATGCACTAAGCATAAGGGCAACACCTCATAAGAATGCAAAAATAACTACTAAACAAAGGATGCCGAATTCCGCTGCCATTTTACTCTATCCGATAACGAACAGAAAACCCCATATCCTTTTGTGGAATTGATGAGTAAAACATTCTTTCTAGAATTATAGCACACTTGCGATTAGTTGCTAGTACACCCACAATTTTTTCGTAGAATACAAAAAAATAGAGATGAGCGCCCTTTCTACAGTCAGATTACGCATTTGATACCCTAAGTGCACAGCTGCACAGTAACTGATAGATGGGGAAGCACGTAGAACCTTCGAGCGAGCACTCCTCAATGGTTCACTCACCCGAATCCAAGGCAACGATAGACGACCAACCAACGGCAAACGACTGAACTCAAAATTGTGAAAGGCAATGCTCTATCATGGGGGTTTTTCCAAGTAATTCCATAGATGATGCAAAATACAAGAGCGTAGAAAGGAAGCTGAACGAAAGCCGGTGGCATACGTATTTATGAGAGCTGGCGGCAATATTAGCTGCATAACAGGGATCATACCACTCTCCTCCTGTTTAACTGCACTGTATTCCCTTGAATCGCTCACCACCCATGGGCCCTTTTTCAACGCACGGTGTACCACATAATACCGCTTGTATTGTGACAGAGCCACTCTCAATACTCGAGTCAGAAGTACTCGAACCCACCGTTATTTGAAATGATCATTTGATTCTCAGCAACGAGGTAGCTATACGAACAATAAAAAGCGCCCGCAACATATCTCAAATTACTACTCTAATGGAAAATTGAGGCAAAGAGGTCCAAAAGCATCAAGATAAAGAGAACGGATCTGAAACCTCGGGGAAGGCTAGCGGTAGCCTTAGCCAAATTACATTTCAATACACTAAGGGTTCTGTCAGAGATCGGAGAGCAATTCAAAGCAGTCAAAAGAGTGACATGGAACTCGATAATTTTGACGTTAACAAAAACAGAACAAAGGGCTTCTATGCTGACACCTGTTCAAGTTTGGATGTTCAATCAATGCTTTTGAATCCTGACCAAACCAAATAAAAATCAATATATAGAGGATTGTCTGCTTACGTCATCGCTCTTACAGTATTCCTATTGCAATCTTCGTCGCCCGCAATTGAGTTCTCCTTTTCTTTCCTTGTCACTCTGACTGACATCCGCCCAGGAATAGAACGTCGAAGGGGAGTGCACCCACTTGCAAAAGACGTCGGGTGACGGATTCCTGTACATTTATCGCCGCATAAACAACACAGAAAACAATCAAAAACGACTATTACTTCCATAAAGTCATATGCCATTCATGGTCAGCTACCAACTGACCAACTAACAATGAGACTACCTGACGATTCGTATGAACCTCGGGTGGCACGATTATCCGCCGAATTGAAGGGGCGAATAGAGGCTGTTTGCTTCACACCAGATGGGTTCCTCGATTTATCGTCATGGACTTCCTGATTGGAAAACGATTCTGACATCGATGAAGTTCGCGATTTCGGTTGTGCACTCTGAAATTCAACGTTCAAAGCGTAAACTTAAACAAAATTGTTACCATAGCAAAACACTGTACCCTTGATCGTCTTTCTAACGAAGGCTTGTCTTGTTGATCACTCCCTTTTGACGGTCTCCTGCTCAAAGCCTCTCGTTCGAGTTTCTTGTGTCGCTCCATTTGGGAAATCTGGAATGATTAATTTATCTCAGTAATTTAAGAGCAAAAATTATTACTTTTGTGAACAATTTGCCATGACTGACTATGCCCATGACTTACACCTGAGCTCTAAACAAAGCTGTCTACCATTTCAAAACAAGGAAAAGAGTTTAGGAGTTTCTTTGCCATGCACTAACACCACCCTTTAACCTGGATCCCTTCCAAAATTCTCAATTAAGAGCTCCACATAAAGAAATTTCCAATTCACGATCACTTCAGGAAGAAGCTTCTCACAAGCTCAGAGGTTTCATGTTTTATGAGATCACCCGTTTTGGAGTCATTCTATTCCATCAATAGAGGGTTAGCGTACTCCGATTCACCTCCTACCTCTCATCTTATGGAAGTGCTATTTGAGTAACGACTTATACTTATACCCAACTACAACAAAACAAAGAAGAGGGAAGAATTCAATAAGCCCTCTAAATATTTGCATAGAGAGGCTTTGCTCATGTAACTTATCCAGAGTATCGGATGCAAGTATAAGGTGATGAAGTTATGATGATACTAAGGCCAAGTAAAAGAATGGTAGAAACATATTTCTGAAAAGGAGCGAAGTAGCAAATGAAAACATCAGAAAAGAGAGAAGGAATAAAAAGAACGCAAAAGAAGGTAGAAAAATGAGTCGCACGTGAAAGCCTCGCAATAGAAAGTGTCAAAAGAAAAATTTTAAGGAAAACGAACACATAAACAACGAGTTGGGATTAACTGCCATTGTGTAGAACGAGAATGGTGATGTGGGAATTGAGATT